GCTTCTCTCGCTTAGTCCTCTAACCCCAGTTCCTTCTTCTATGCAGTGGGGAGAATAGTGACTATTTCAAAGCAAAAAGCATGGAGCTTTCTTTTCGATCCCTCAATAATGCCCCTGTGGGTTTTCCCACTTACAGCACGTGGAAGAAGGAGGCCCAGCCCAAGAGGCAGGGCTCTGTGCTGGGGACCTCATCACCCACGTGAATGGTGAGCCAGTGCATGGTATGGTGCATCCTGAGGTGGTGGAGTTGATCCTCAAGGTGAGTGTAAGGCAGGGGCTTCGGTGCCGGGAGGGGAGAGCAGGACCCTGCAGCCTCTAACAAGTGTGTTTCACTCCCTTCTCCCAGAGTGGCAACAAAGTAGCTGTGACCACCACGCCCTTTGAAAACACCTCTATCCGCATTGGACCAGCCAGGCGCAGCAGCTACAAAGCCAAAATGGCTCGTAGGAACAAGAGGCCTTCTGCTAAAGATGGCCAAGAAAGGTGAGTGGGACCATAAGTAGTTTATCCTCCTAACAGTGGGTGGGATTATCCAGGGGTGCGAGGAACAGAAGGGAAAATCAGAGGGTAGGAAGGGGAGGGAAGCAGAGACTGAGGACCAAACCCAAGTGGGAAAGTGGGGGGAGCCTGAGAAGGAAACTAGTCAAAATAAAAGCACTGGCCGGGCGCACGCCTTTAATTCCAGCACACAGGAGGCAGAGGCAGGCGGGTCTCTGTGAGTTCGAGGCCAGCCTGGTCTACAGAGCGAGTTCCAGGACAGCCTCCAAAACAATACAGAGAAACCCTATCTCGAAAAACCAAGAACAAACAAATAAATAAAAGCACTGTGGGTTAGCACTTGAGCAGGTTAGACCTGTTTCAACGGGACTTGAGAGGAGCTGGGATGAAAGATTAGGACTGGCTGGGCAAGGTGGTGTATCCCTAATCCTCAAGGTTCAAAGACAGCGCGATGGCAGAGAAGGGTTCCAGTTCAAGGCCAGCCTGGCCTCTATAGTGAGTTCCAGGACAGCCAGGGCTGTATAGAGAGATGCTGTCTCAAAAAACAAAACACTAGTTCTAGGACAGCTAGAGATGTTCCACAGAGAAATCCCGTCTCAAACAAGCGAACGAAACAAAACGAAAGACTGTGTCACCTGGAGTAGTCAAGCAGACCATCTGGTGGGCACAACCCTGTAACTCCAGCTCTTGGGAGACTGAGGCAAGAGGATCTCTGGATGTTAAAAGCCAGTGTGGGCCGGGCAGCAGGGGCACACGCCTTTAATGCCAGCGCTTGGGAGGCAGAGACAAGTAGATCTCTGTGAGTTCAAAGCCAGCCTGGTCTACAGCGTGAGTTACAGGACAGGCTCCAAAAACTACAGAGAAACCCTGCCTTGGCAGAAAAAAAAAGCCAGTGTTTGGGCCCATATAGTAAGGGAAAAAAGAAAATAAACATAGACGGTATTATTTAGTGATGGAGGAGTGTTGCTACAAATGCATCCTTACTTGCAGGAGTTCCTTAGGTGAGTATCAGAGTGAATTTACACAAATCACCTGAGGTCACCCGGCCATATCATCATATAGGACTAACATGGTGTGGGTATTTGGAAATGTGGTTACATTATGGGGCACGACTATAATTTCTAATCTTGTACACTGGAAGAATAAGGGAAAGGGTGGGGCCAGCCAGGAGCTTTGATGTGTGTATGTGTGTGTGTGTGCGCGTGTGTGTCTGTGTGCGTGTGTCTGTGTGTGTGTGCGTGTCTGTGTGTGTGTATGTGTGTGTGTCTGTGTGTGCGTGTGTGTGCGTGTGTGTATGTGTGTGTCTGTGTGCGTGTGTGTATGTGTGTGTCTGTGTGCGTGTGTGTGTGTGCGCGTGTGTGTTTGTGTGTATGTGTATGTGTGTGTATGTGTATGTGTGTGCGTGTGTGTATGTGTATGTGTGTATGTGTGTGCGTGTGTGTATGTGTATGCGTGTGTGTGTATGTGTGTATGTGTGTGCGTGTGTGTGCGCGCGCGTGTGTGTGCGCGCGTACATGTGCTTGTGCGTGTGTGTGTGTGCGTGTGTGTATGTATGTGTGTCTGTGCGTGTGTGCGCGCGCGAACATGTGCTTGTGCGTGTGTGTATGTGTGTGTGCGTGTGTGTATGTATGTGTGTATGTGTGCATGTGTGTGTGCGCGTGTATGTGTGTGTGTGTGCGCGCGTGCGCACATGTGCTTGTGCTTATCCTGTGGATTGTGGTCTTCATACCATGGAGCCACCTCCCTAGACCCAAGAAAATTTTATTTATTTAAAAGTTTTAAATATTTTATTTTAATTATGCATAGGTTTGTGTCTGTGAATATAAATGCAGCTGCCTGTGGAGGCCAGAAGAGGGCATGGGTTTGATTCCCCTGGAAGCTGGAGTTACAAGCATTCTGAGCTAGCTGTCTGATAGACTTGCTCGGGCTCTCTGAAGAGCAATATACCCTCTTCCTCTTAACCACTGAACCATCGCTCCAGAGAACAGTTTCGTTTTGTTTTAGATTGCTTTTACTTGTGTTAGCATTTTGATTGCTTCTGTTTATGCGTGCCAACTGTGTACCTGATGCCTAAGGAGGCCAGAAGAGGGCGCCAGATTCCCTGGAACTAGAGTTACAGGTGTTTTTTAGATGCCTTGTGGGTGCTGGGATATCTAACCCTGGTCCTCTGGAAGAACAGCCACTATTCTTAACTGCTGAGCCATCTCTCCAGCTCCAAAGAGACGGTTTTGACGGCTGACCGTAGTGACGCATGCCTTTAACGCCAGCTTTGCAGAGGCAGGCAGATCTCTGTGAGGTGGAGGCGAGCCTGATCTACATAGTGAGTTCCAGGACAGCCAGAACTACATAGTGACCCTAAGAATGCGGGGGCAGGGGGTCGGTTTTGATCAGTGGGTTTGGTCAGGAGCAGAGTGAGGATCTGAGTGAAGGAAGCAAACTAATCCTGTAAACAAGTGAAAAGGAAGTAAGTAAATCAGTGAAAAGGTGCGTTACTAGATGTGCGAGGGGCCAGAAGAGGCCGGGTTTGTTTGCAAGGGATTTCTGACTTGGATTGCGTGTGGCCAGAGAAGACAGGGCATGACCGCCCAAGACTGGGCCAAGAGCGCTGCCTTGATAGATGGGTTGTAGGGAGAGGGGAGTGCTAGAATGGAGAAGTCGGTTACTGGGCTGTCAGGTTCCGGAGTTAAGGAGAGGTGACCCTTTGGTATTTATCACCCAGCAAGAAGCGCAGCTCCCTCTTCCGGAAGATCACAAAACAGTCAAACCTGCTGCACACTAGCCGGTCGCTGTCCTCTCTGAACCGGTCCCTGTCGTCCAGCGACAGTCTTCCTGGCTCGCCCACGCACGGACTACCGGCACGCTCGCCCACGCACAGCTATCGCTCCACGCCTGACTCCGCCTACCTAGGTCGGTTCTGTACCCGCGGGGGTAGGGCACTGGGGGGCCGCGGCGCCCAGAGTATTTACGCCTTCTCTGGCCTGCAGGTGCCTCGTCGCAGAGTAGCTCCCCGGCTTCCAGCACGCCCAACTCCCCCGCGTCATCCGCGTCGCACCACATCCGGCCCAGCACCCTGCACGGGCTGTCACCGAAGCTACACCGTCAGTACCGCTCTGCACGCTGTAAATCGGCTGGCAACATCCCTCTGTCACCACTGGCGCACACGCCATCCCCGACACAGGCGTCACCGCCGCCGCTGCCAGGCCACACGGTGGGCAGCTCGCACACCACGCAGAGCTTCCCGGCCAAATTGCACTCGTCACCGCCTGTTGTGCGCCCGCGCCCCAAGAGCGCAGAGCCACCGCGCTCGCCACTGCTCAAGCGCGTGCAGTCAGCGGAGAAGCTGGGGGCTTCGCTGGGCTCAGACAAGAAGGGCGCACTGCGTAAACACAGCCTCGAAGTGGGCCACCCGGATTTCCGCAAGGACTTCCACGGTGAGCTGGCACTACATAGCCTCGCCGAGTCCGACGGTGAGACACCGCCCATCGAGGGTCCTGGGACCACCCGGCAGGTCGCCGTGCGACGCCTGGGCCGCCAGGAATCGCCCCTGAGCTTGGGCGCGGACCCGTTGCTATCCGAGGGTGCCCCGAGGCCGACGGCATCAAGCAAGGAGGAGTCCCCGGGAGGTGCAGAGGCTTGCACCCCGCCTCGTGCGACAACCCCCGGGAGCCGGACCCTGGAGCGTGACTCAGGCTGCACGAGGCACCAGAGCGTGCAGACCGAGGACGGCCCAGGTGGAGTGGCCAGGGCCTTGGCCAAGGCGGCGCTAAGCCCGGTGCAGGAACATGAGACAGGCCGGCGCTGCAGCTCCGGTGAGGCAGGCACACCCCTGGTGCCCATGGTCGTCGAGCCTGCCCGTTCAGGGGTCCAGACCCAGACACCTCAGCCTCCGGGCACAGACTCCAAGGGAGTGAAGGAACCCGTAGCCCAGGTGCCTCTGGTGCCTGATGCGCCAAGGGCCCGGGAGCGCTGGGTGCTGGAGGTGGAAGAGCGGACCACACTAAGCGGACCTCGCTCCAAGCCAGCTTCTCCCAAGCTCTCTCCCGACCCCCAGACTCCAACCCCAGCCCCAACAAAGAATGTGTCCCGCAGTGCAGTTCCTCCAGTCCCACCTGCTTCCCTTGTGGTCCCCGGCACCAAATCTGAAGCAGGGTCGAACTCCCGGTGTCCTGCTGAAGCTGTGACTTCCGCAGGCCTAACCAAAACTGGGGCACCCAGCCACGCCCCCTAGGCCCATAGCGGAGCAGGCCTTTGGGTCCTTGCTGTACAGATGCCTGTATACATATGTACACATATAAATAAAGTGCCCGTGCTGCCTGAGACTTCGGGGCTCCCATTTCCTCTCAGGACAAGGGATGGCTCCTGGGCTTCCTAGGAGAGGGAAGGTGGTTTTCTAAGTCCCATCCACTGCCGGTTTCTCACGGAACAGCTTGGGGCGGACCCTTTAGGAAGAGGTGTCTCACCGGTGCTCTGTGTCTCAGTGTCTGAAGGAAAAGGTAACGGCCTCATGCACAGAGTTCCTTTTATTAACAGCCTCTCTGCGGTGCCCACGCTGCCGTTCACCTGGCAGCCAGGGAGGTTAAGGCACGGCAAGGACTGCGGTTAGGAAGGGGCTTGGATTCACAGGCAGAGCAGCGTGGTGCACCCTGGGATTCAACCCAGCGAGCCGACCCCAAGCACATTCAAGTCCAAACTAGCCCCTTGGGGGTCGTGTAGCCCTGGCCCTCAGGCTGGCCCGGAACACCCGAGTGTGGGGTTAAAGGTGTGCGGCACCATGCTCGGCTCGTCCCGAGGCTTAGGTCTTTGCTCTGCTGGCTTCTTCACAGGGCACCCAGGTCTTCACCAGGGCCTGGAAGGCCTTCCAGAGGGAAGGCAGCTGGGTGCACAGCGTGCCCCCGCCTCGGTGCATTTCTCCTCTGTTGCGATTCATGTCACCCACACAGGCCCAGGGCCCGAGAGGAGCCACACACCATTTGGAGTGGTCCTCTGTAGCGTCGAAAGTTGGTCCAGACGGGCCAGGGAAGCCTGTCTGGTTCACATTAAGAATCTGATGGCTCCCAGAGCAGTTGGAAGGCAGGGTGCCCTGAGAATTTGGCCAGAATTGGACCTGCAGGTTGGAGTCTAGGGCTGCTGCCAACCAGCCAGAGTACAGGTCTACGGAGGAAGAAAGAAGCGCGGGGTGAAGGTCACTGTCAGAGTCCTTAGGCCGGTCTCCTTCTAGGAGCCATGAGCCTAAACAGCCCTTACCAAACAATTTGTGTTATTTCATAACCCTCGAAGGGAAGCAAACATCAATATTCTAATTTTTCAGATGAGCAAGCAGACCCAGGCCATATCATATATTGCACATCCAGAAACCAATATTTGAACCTAGGTCTGTTGGCCAATCTTGAGCTCCTGTCTCAGCGTCTGTAGTGCTGGGATCACAGATAGGTACCATCTGCCCAGCTGGCCTGTTGGTTTCCTACTCGTGGCTGTTACTGTAACAGGACTCCCAGAGACACCTGGGCTCTACATGTGGCTTGCCCTCAGGCTTGGAGATATCAGGGATCCCCCCACACACACACACACAGAAAGAAAGTGCTCTTTTCCCCTGTACACCAGGACTCACCATCTCCAAATTTTCCAAATTTGGCAAAGCTCTGGAAGGTGGCCCCGGCTTGTGACGTAAGCAGCACACTATTATTCCAGGGCTCTTGGAGGGCATGGTGACCCTTGATCACCTCTTGCAGCTCAGGTAATTTCTGGGCAAAAACGCCTTCCAGCTTGTGGTCGTAGACTAAGGGATAGGTGTAGGTTAGCTGCCTGCCTGGAAGACAAGGTGAGAAAAATGTCAGCGGGCTACCTCAGGCCGGCTACCTCAGGCGGCTACCTCAGGCGGCTACCTCAGGCGGCTACCTCAGGCCGGCTACCTCAGGCCGGCTACCTCAGCCGCACCTCCACGATTCTGCTCACCGATCTTGAGGAATTGGTCGAAGGGAAAGGACACGCAGAGGAGGGTCTGCCCATAGGTGTGCGCATTAGGAGGCCAGCTGTACGCGCCGGAGGACACAGGTGGAGGGAAGCGGGGCACACTGTGGATCAGCCAGAAGCCCCCTTCTTGGTCCAGGAGCAGAACACCTGAATCAGACAGAAGGAGGAGGTCGGCTGGGCTGTGGTGGCGCACGCCTTTAATCCCAGCACTCCGGAGGCAGAGGCAGGCGGATCTCTGTGAGTTCGAGTCCCAGGACAGCCTCCAAAGCCACAGAGAAACCCTGTCTCAAAACAACAACAAAAAAAAAAAAAAAAAAAAAAAAAAGAAGGAGGAGGAGGAGGAAGTCAGAGAAGCCTCTGGAAGCTGCCCTGCAAAGTCAGCTCATCTGCAACCAGGTGCAGGGTCTCGGATTGCTGGCTTCTTAGACAGGCACAGGCAGGAAACCGAGGCAAGGGTTTGAGACAGGGAGGATCCCCCACCCTTCATGCAGGTCAAAGGTTAGTTTGGGTAAATTTACAAGAAACTCAGGGTGGCTCCACGACCACCAAGTCCAAGCCTCACCCTTTGTATGGCCACGGCTGGAGGAGTCCCGAGCTGAGCTGGATTTAGGAGGCTGGTCGTTGTAGAGCAGAAAGGCCAGCTGGGAGAATGCAGACGGGCTCATCACTAGCCTCCCTTCCCCGGGGACCCACCACAGTGACCCGGCCCGGGCTCCCACTGCGCTCAGTCACCTGGCTGGAGTTGCCCCGGTACAAGGGCAGCAGGCTGCGGCCCACGGCTCCCTCCGAGCTGTTGATGTACCCCACACCGTCGCGCCAGCCCTCGGAGCTCGGGTCCATGTATTTATACTTCAGACCCTTCCAGGAACTCTCCCCAGACCCGCTGTGCGCGGGCAGCTTGTAAACCACGAACCTGGGGGTCAGGGGAGACAGGAGGCGGGGAGAGAAGAGGGATCCGAGGTTTGGCCGAAAAGCACCATCCCAGTGCCCGCGCCGGTCCCCACGCAGCCCGGGGGACGGGGGACAGTCCGCCAGCCACCGGCTCACCAGTCCACAGGCTGCCCCGAGTCTCCATAGCAGCTCAGGGCCTCGGCAGGGCCCCACAGCAGCGCGGCCAGCAGCAGCGAGCGCAGCGCTCCCATGAGGCGGCCGCCACGGACTCGGTGGGAAGACCCAGGACGGCCGGGTCACGCGGTCCAGATTCACTTCCCCTTAAGGTCAGCTGAGACCTAGGTGGGGGCTTCGCGTGGGTGAAGGCGACGCCCGAGAGCCCCCGAGGGCCGGAGGCGGGGCTTCCTTTGGTGCGGTCCCTTCCCCGGGCCCCGCCCCTTTCAGGGCCCACCCCGCCCTCCTGCTTCTGGCGACTCAGCTCCGGATAGGCTCCACCCGTGGCCACGCCCCTCCCTTAGGCAGTGGCTGTCACGTGATTCTTCTAAGGCACCCCAGTTTCTGAATTTTTGTTTTCCCATTACCGCTCTACAACTCAGGCACATTTTGAGGGACGGGTATTTTTGCCTGCATGTATGCCTGTGAGTCATTTGCATGTCAGGGCAGACCCGATTCTTTTCCTTTCTCTCTTTTTTATTTATATTTTGTTAGAGACAGGATCTCACCTATGTAGCCCTGGCTGGCCTGGGACTCACAGGGATCTCTGCCTCCCTTCTGCCTCTCCTCCTGGAAAGTTTGGTTTAGGGACTCGCACCAATCACCCCTGGCCTTTTTTTTTCTGTCAGAGTTTCCTGTTTCCTTCTCTGACCTCTTAACACTGTGGTTTAAGCTTGAACTCTCATCTTCCTGCCTCTAACACCCAAGTGTTCAAATCACAGAAGTGCTCCACCACGTTGTATGCATGCATGCGAGTGGAGGCCAGGGCGATTTGTGGGAGTTTCCCCTTCCACCCCACGGGGTTTGGGGAATCAAGTGTGACAGTAAGCACCTTTACAGGCTAAGTCATCTTGTTGGCCCTCTTTTTTTTTGAGGCAGGGTCTCCTTGTAGCTCAGGCTGGCCTGGAACTCTCAACTTGCTCAGACTCCTGACCAAGTGCTGTCCTATCCTCCCAGCTTTCTAAATTTCATATGCATCTGTGTGTGTGCTCTTGTGAGTTTACGTATACCATGTGCAGGCTGGCCAGATGCCCGTAGGTGTTCGATCCCTGGAGCCTGAGTTACAAGTAGTTGCAAGCACTATCTGGGTTATGGGACCCGAAGTCAGGGTCTCTGGGAGAAGTGTAGGTGTTTGTAACCACTGTGCGGGCTCTCCAGCCTCCGCCGCCACCTGTGGTGCCCGGGTTTTTGTTTTTGACAGCCTGGCCCAGGCTAACCTCTAACTCCTGTCCTAGTAGCAAAAGTGCTGGAACTCCCTGTGTGGCCGCCACGCCCGGCTGGGTCACTCTTGTTCACTTAGGCGTATTTCCTTCTGCACCCTCTCTCTTAGGCGCATTTCCTTCTGCACCCTCTCTCTGACCTTTCTGCAAGTTTCCTAGCTCCTCTGCCCTCTTGCCACTGACCGAGGAGTCACTTCGGGTTGTGGCAAGGCAGGAAGACAGCTAAGCACTCTACCACAGACTGACTATGTCACTCAGGCCTGACACTTGATCCTCCTGCTCCTACCTCCCAAATTTTGGGGTTAAAGGCCTGTAGCACCATAGCCCTAGCTGGTCTGGAACTCCCTATGTAGACCAGGCCGTCCTCCAGCTGAAGAAATCCACTTGCCTCCTGGGACTAAAGGCCTATACCACCATAGGCCTTTTTTGTTTGTTTGTTTGTTTTTCGAGACAGGGTTTCTCTGTCTAGCTTTGGAGACTGTCCTGGCACTCACTCTGTAGACCAGGCTGGCCTCAAACTCACCGAGATCCGCCTGCCTCTGCCTCCCGAGTGCTGGGATTAAAGGCGTGTGCCACCAATGCCTGTCTGTATAGGCTAAGAAGAGCTACACAGATTGTACTGCTGGGGCAGGCCATCAGAAGTGACCCAGGAGGTGAGTCTGTGTACAGATAAGTGTCACCTACTGGAGGCTCGATACTCCTCCTAATTTCCAGCCTCATATTACAGTGAGGCTGACAATGGTTTTATATGGGAGAGTTTTATAGTACCATGACAAATCCCAGCTGACAGGCACTGAGAAATCTCACCCCACTCCACCTCCAAGACTCAGGGTCACTCCTGCACCGGTCTAAGGGTTCATCTGAGTTGCTTTATTTGGTAGTCTGTCTTGCTGGGTCTGTGGGGTCATCAAATGTTTCTGTGTGACTCCCTGAGGACATGAGAAGATTCTTTTGACGGTCCCTTTATATTGTCCACGAGTCAGTTCTTGATCTGGGTAGCTCTGTAAGTCCAATAGTGGTCCATCCTTTGGAAGACGATATTTGAATGTACTCTTACTTCATTCCCAGTCTCTCCGCGGGATCGGAGTTCAGAGGTGACGCTTCATGTGCAAGGCTAAGTGGTCAGAGCGTGCAAAAGCGCGTGGGCAGAGTCTACAGCAGAAGGGTCGCTGGCCAGTGTGCTTCCGGTAGTGGCGCGTCAGCTCGTCAGAGCGAGCGAACCTCCAGTCGCAGCCGTCCCAGGAGCAGGCATAAGGCTTTTCTCCTGAAGGACAGGAATTTGTGAGTACCACCGTGCAAGCCGTCCAGCTCCGATGTGCATACTTGATGAGTGCGAGCCGGGCCTTAGATTACTCGTCTAGCTCCCACAGTCTAGGAAGGGCACACAGTCCTCTGATCCCGACCCGTCTCTGTGCCTGCAGCTTGCAGTCCTGAGGTTTTCTCCTTTCCGGTCTCCTATCCCACTTTCTAGGCTCTAGTTCCCTGCCTGAGACCTGTCCTCCGTGTTCCCATGCACTGGCAGAGCCTCCCGCTGATGTCCAGTCTTGCTCTTGAACTTGGCCCAAGCCTGGAAGTTCATCCCAGTGTCCAAGGCCCTGTTGACCCTCTCCCGGATATATACCCGGTGCATGTCATGCCGCACTTGGGAGGCCCCGCCTTGTGTCTGGGACCTCCATCAGTTGCCCGTGAAACTAATTCTACCTCCAGATCCCAGACACTTCCAACCGGAATATGCACGTGGACACCGGCTCTATCCTGAGTTCTTGCATTCCAAGCTTGTAGCCTCCCTGTCCTGCTCCTCTGCCCATCTCTAACCCAGGTCTTACACATCAGCTTTTAACCCTGAAGTCCGCAGAATGCTCCCCAGGGCTTCTGTCTACACCCATTTAACTAATTATTATTTTTGAGATGGGATATTACTTTGTAGCCCTGACTGTTGGAATTCGCTATAATAGACCAGGTTAGTGTAGAAGTCATTTATACCCACCTGCCTCTGCCTCCTGAGTGCTGGGATTCGCCGGGCCCGATTTGGGTCTACAATTGCCCCTATACTTTAGCCACCAGTGACTGGGGCCCACTTCAGGCCTCTAGCTCTGGGGCCGCCTTTAGCCACGCCTCTGGCCACCCTCTGGCCCCTCCCTTGGCTCCGCTTCGGGCTCCCGGGACCGCCCCCACCCGCTGCGCTCCGCCCTTACCTGTGTGCGTGCGCAGATGCGCCTTCAGATGCGAGCTCTTGGTGTAGCTCTTCCCGCAGCCCTCGTGCCCGCAGGTGTGTGCCGCTTGCCGCTTTGGTGCCAAAGCTCTCCGGCTGCGCTTGGGCGGCGCGGCTGCCGGCGACAGGCCTGTGTCTCCTGCGAGCGCGGTGGTCCCGAGTTCTGTACCCACTGCACCGGGTCCCAGACAATTCAGGAAGGAAGGGGGCGCGGCGGGGCCGGCAGAAGGCGCCGTGAGCCCGCGAAAGAGCTGAAAATGCCCTTGGTACTGTGGCGCGGGGTAGAGCGCGGGGTACCCCGACAGCAGCCCATAGGGGGCGCTGGGAGCCGCGGGCACCGCGAGCCCTGCCCGCGGGAAGAAACCGCTTGCCGAGCCCGCTCGCGAATCGGAGAATGCTGGCTGCGCCTTGAGCGCGGATCCCGGGGCCAGGGCAGGGGCCACGAAGGGCTCAGGGGCTGGGGCTCGCGGGGCGGAGTGCACCCAACCCGCGTGCTCCTCGGAGCCCAAAGGCCCGGCCACCAACCCTGGGCCACCTGCATAGGTGCCCAGAGCTTCGGGCGGCGCGTACTGTGCCACCGGGCCCCCGCTGGGCGCCAGAGCACAGGTCCGGGGCTCGGGACCTGGGAAGTTGGTAAGGAAAGGATCCGGATCCCAGGCACCGGTCAGGTCCCTCTCATCGTCCTCGTCCTCTCCGGGAGGGGTCTGCGATTTCAGACTCACGTGAAGGGATGACCCCGTGAGATCAGGGGGACCCGGGCCCAAATCCTGTGTCTCGTCGGAGCGCCACCACTGCGGGAGGGAGCGCACTGCTTGAATGGTGGGCACCCGGTACCTGGCCCTGATGCAGTCCCGGCTGGAAACACCGTTGGGGCAGGTTGGTCGAGGGATCCGAGCGTCTATCACTTCCCCCACGCTGTTCCCCTGGCCCCCTTCTCAACTCCAGACAAGCCCTTTAGGTCTGGTTAGAGTCAGATAAGACACTTACCGAGAACAGTGTTCGGAATCGGGGTAGGGGTTACAGAGTTCAGAATGGAAGGCAAGGGGGCAGCTTTGACTCCGTTTCCCCCAACCCTTCCCTACCTTTTCACACCTCCCGACAATATTACATCTCACAGCCTGAACATCCCAGGACACCTCTATCTGGGACTAGACTCTATCTGAGTCTAGACTTCTAAGGCACTGAGCTCAGAACTCAGCTTCCTATTACAGAAACAGGCCTCGCCTCTATCTCAGACCCCTAGAGCAGTACCCCAAGCCAGGCTCAGACCCCCCAAAAACCCTGAGCAGAGGAGGGTACTTAGAAGCCCGACCCCCAAGCGCTATGTGCTGGGTCACAGCGAGACCACCTGCGCCCACTGCCCCACCTTGAGGAAGTCCTCCTGGGTGTCCAGAAACTGGCTCAGGGTGGTGAGTGTACTGATGGAGGGTAAGACCGTCTCAGCTGCGGCCATGGCTGGCTGGTGTGCACCCTGGGCCTCAGGCCTCTTCTCCCTCTTCTGCCTCATGGGCTATGCAGCTTGGAGGGCTCCTTGGAGGGCTCCGGTCTGCCCTCCTCTGATTGGCTGTCTTGTCTGATAAGCGCAGGCAAGGCAGGGGGTGGTAATACGTGTGTGTCACTTTCAAGGGGACAGACCTCACCTTAGCCTGCTTGGGAACTGGTCCCTGAAAACTAAACCTTTATGTAAATTAAGTCAGAAGCCAAGAGGTAGGGGCTCCATAAGTTTTGGGGTTCAGGTGAACAGTAGGGCCTGATTCCCACTCACCCCCTCTCCCCCCAGAGAACTGAGAGGCCTCCCTGGTCTGGTATCAAGTCTTCTTGGAAAAGGGGTGGACCAGGAAGGATAGATTTCTTTTTTTTTTTAAGGATAGATTTCTTGGGAAAGGTCTTTGGGACACTTTGAGCCTCATCTGGGGACCTGCACCCCTTTACCCTCCCCAACAGACAGCACCAACGGTGCTGGTGGCGGGACTTGGCACCGGCTCTCTTTCAGGCATTATCAGACAGACCAGATGTTTTAGGCTGCTATCAGGTAAGGGGCCCAGAACAGCCATCGTTCTATCCCTCCTTGAGCAGAAAGGCTGGGGGTTGGGGCCACAAATTATCTTGGCTTTGAATTGCAAGTTGTGTTGGGGTCTGAGCCATTTAGCAAGAGGGAGACCCGCAAGTCAGCCCACCCCTGGACACCTAGGCCCCTCACTGGATACTCAAAGAAGCTGCAGGGAATGGTTATAAACCCTGCAGCATGGTGGTGTCCTCTGGGTAGGACAGGACGATGAGATGGAGCCACAGCCAGTATGCCATTCAAGGGACCTCAGTGCTGACTGGGCCCTGCTGCTGGCTGGTTTGTGGTCCCCATGGTAGAGGACCCGCATTCTGGTGCCATGTGAGTCAGTGTAGGGAAATGGAGTGTCGCTACACCATATGTCACACATCACCACTGCTTGGTATCCACAGGGGACCCCAAATCCACCTAGCCAGACATGGTGGTGGTGCACGCCTTTAATCCCAGCCCTCGGGAGGCAGAGGCAGGCGGATTTCTGTGAGTTTGAGGTCAACCTGGTCTACAGAGCGAGTTCCAGGACTGCCAAGACTACATGGAAAAACCCTGTCTTGAAAAATCAGTAATAATAATAAAATAAATAACAAACATGTGCACTGAGTCTACACACATCCATTTTTATGCTCTATTGTTATTTTGTTTGAGATAGGCCTCATGTGTCCTAGGTCTCTCTGTAGTAGCACACAGTACTTGGTGCACAGCATCTGTTATCCTCAAGCTTGGACCATGGGACATTCCTTCACAGAGGGAGGGAGCTCTGCTGTCTGGGGTGAGTGAGTAGTATCTGTTCACTACTCAGGAAAAGTTCGCACGACAAGCTCACTGTGTAGCCAGGCTGGCCTAGAACTTTTGAGCCCGTCTGAGCCTCCTGCCTGTCCGATAACATGGGGAAGTGCCACCACACCCTGCTTTCCCACACACCTGCAGTCATCCGCAGATTAATTACGGTACTCAGCATACTGTGGGTGGTAGGTCGTTATGTTGGTGTTGGTTTTGCCCAGCAATTTGTGACACCATCCACGTGAGCCTGCAGACAGACTTCACAATGACAACAACTGTTGATGAGGTAGTCACACAGCTATGCAGTTCCACTTGTACTGTGGCCACACAAGCAGACTCAGGAGAATTTCTCAAATATAGTGTCACGACGGTTATTAAAGTCAAGTAGCCTCACCAAGCACAGAGATGGCCTCATAGACAAAAGTAAACACGAGGGGTCCAGGTATGACTCAGTTAATAGAATGGTTGCTGGCTGTGGAATATCCCCTAACACTGTGTGAATCCATGGCGATGTGATTGGCTTAATAAAGAAAATGCTGGGAAGGAGAAGGGCGGAGTCTGGAGTCACCAGCAGACCAGAGAGACACAAGATGGGCATGCCGTACTGAGAAAAGGTGCTGAGCCAAGCGGCAAAGCGTCGATAAGAAGTATGAGCTAGGGCTGGAGAGATGGTTCAGTGGTTAAGAGCACTGCCTGCTCTTCCAAAGGTCCTGAGTTCAATTCCCAGCACCCACATGGTGGCTCACAACCATCTGTAATGAGATCTGGTGTCCTCTTCTGGTCTGCAGGTATGCATGCAGACAGAACACTGTATACACAATGAATAAATAAATCTTAAAAAAAAGAAGTATGGCCGGGCGGTGGTGGCGCACGCCTTTAATCCCAGCACTCGGGAGGCAGAGGCAGGTGGATCTCTGTGAGTTCAAGGCCAGCCTGGCCTACAGAGTGAGTTCCAGGACAGCCTCCAAAGCCACAGAGAAACCCTATCTCAAAAAACAAACACAAAAAATACCCCAACCCACAAAAAGAAAAAAAACAAAATCCAGGTCAGCAGTGGGGGCGCACACCTTTAATCCCAGCACTCGGGAGGCAGAGGCAGGTGGATCTCTCTGAGTTTGAGGCCAGCCTGGTCTACAGAGCAAGTCCCAGGACAGCCAGGGACTACACAGAGAAATGCTGCCTGAAAAAAAAACAAAATAAAAATGACCTTAATTTCAGATCCCTAGTGCCCACATGAAAGCTAGGTGTCACTGTGCAAGTCTAAGCCCAGCGCTAGGGTGCTGGAGACAGGAGGATCCCTGGGGCTCATTCGATAGCCAGCCTAGCCAATCAGTGAGCGCCAGTGTCAGACCCAGTCTAAGGAAACAAGGAGAACTGTAAGGAGGAGACAGTCAACCTTGACCTCATGCTGTGTGCTCGTGTAAAGACACATGCCACATTGATGAACGTAATACCATGAGGAAACCTGAGAAAAACACGCTAGAGGGGAGGGAAAGTCAGCTACATATTGCATTATTTCTTCTATATACAACAGCCAGAATAGGCCATCAGAACTAACGGGATAGGGGCAGGAGTGCCTGCTAATGGGGACAAAGTCTCATTTGTCCATGAGTTCAAGGCCAGCCTGGGGCTACCAATGAGAGGCTGTGTCAAAAAGAATTTTCATATTTCATGTCTCAGGAACCTATTGCTGTGAAGAGACACCATGACCATGGCAGCTCTTTTAAGAGAAAACATTTAATTGTGGTGGTTTATAGTTTAGAGGTTTAGTCCATTATCATCATGGTATGACATGGTGGCGTGCAGGCAGATGTGGTGCTGAAGAAGGGGCTGAGACTTCTTATATTTTGACTCACAGGCAACATGAACTGGGTGGTCTCACTAGGCGTGGCTTGAGCGTAGATGAGACCTCAAAGCCCACCTCCACAGTGATATGCTTCCTACTCCAACAAGGCCACACTTCCTAACAGTGCCACTCCCTTTGCGGGGGGAGGGGTGCATTTTCCTTCAACCCACCACATTGCATAAATAGCAGTAAACCTAAGTCAAGGAAACCCGTTGGAACTGGCGTTTCTTCTACGAGGATTGGTTTGTGTGTACAGTGCTTGGGGTCAGGGTCAGGGCCTCCTGTGGGCTATATAAGCACATTACCATGGAACCTGTCTGCAGCTGGAGAGCTTTCTAGAAAGGACAGCAGTTTCCTGGTTTAGCATAAGGCACGTTGCAGGCATCTTTTGCCTTTTGGGTGAGGCAAGAGGATAAGAGTGTGGTCCAAGGCCCTGGGGAGCAGTGGCTGAGACAGACAATAGATTTCCCGGAGTAGCAGGGCTGGGACTTAAGTTGGGTTCTCTGATTTGTACACTGTTGATGGCCCTTAACACCCATGCAGCATCAGAGAACTCTAGCACCAGTTAAAAAGCAAGAGTAATCAAGGTGTCCCACAAAGGAACACAGGCAGACACGGAGTAAGGGTAAAAAATGTAAGCCAAGGGCTGGAGAGGTAGCTCAGAGGTTAAGAGCACTGACTGCTCTTCCAGAGGTCCTGAGTTCAATTCCCAGCAACCTCATGGTGGCTCACAACCGTCTACAATTCAACCTGGTGCCCTCTTCTGGCAGAACACTGTATATGTAATAAATAAATAAATCTTTTTTTAAAAAATGTAAGCCAAGGCAATGCTGGCATGTGTCTTTAGTTCTATCACAGAGGCAGGCGGATCTCTGAGTTTGAGGCCAGCCTGGTATATAGAGTAAGTTCTAGAACAGCCAGGGCTGTTACATAGAGAAACCCTATCTAAAAAAAAGAAAGATAAAAAAGAAAAGAAAAAAGTGTATGCCAGGACCCAAACCAAGTTAGCAATCACAGTCTAGCAGTTAAGTTCCCTTGGTTTTTATTCTAAGTCCGATGGTGACAGTGACTTTTCACCATTGTCTGGATCTGGCCTCATAGTCTTTTGGGATTGGCTGGTTGTAAAAGAATTCACACAAAGAAAATGGAGAGGGGGCTGGTTGTGCAGGCCCAGGCCATCAAGTTCTAGGACTGAAGTGGGATTGTGATATAAAAATTTAATCAGGTGAAGATTTATGGCCCTCAGAGGGCTAGTGAGATTCCGGTCTTAGTCACTGATCTATTGCTGTGAAGAGACACCATGGCCAAGGCAGTTCTTTCAGAAGATAGCATTGGACTGAGGGCTGGCTTACAGTTTCAGAGGCTTAGTCCATATCATCACGGTTGAAGCATGGCGGCCTGAAGGCAGGAACTGACACAGTAGCTGAGAGATCCACAGGGAGAGGGAGAGAGAGAGAGAGAGAGAGAGAGAGAGAGAGAGAGAGAGAGAGAGAGAGAGAGAGAGAGAGAGAGAGAGAGAGAGAGAGAGAGAGAGACTCTGGGCTTGACATGAGCTTTTGAAACCTCAAACCCCCGCTCCCCCATGACACACCTCCTCCAATGAGGCCACTTAATTGCTCTCTTAATTGTCAACAGGAAGTAAAGGCAGATGGGTAACTCAGATACAGGGATGGGAGATCTCATCACAGATTGAGAATTTAAGTGCTACAGGCCGAGGGAAAGGTGTCCTGGCAGTCGAGAGCTAAGGAACTCCACACAGTCACACCACACAACAAACCCCCCTCAAGAGGGCGAAGCAGCAGGGAA